TTCTAGCGCTGGCTATAGGCGGGGCGGTCGCAACATATATAAGTTGGCAACAAGTCTTCACGGAGTAAGGATGGGTCATTATGCGCATGTGCACCCAAATTCTTTCTCCTACGCATCCTTGTGCAAGCTTTCACGACTATGTCGCTCCTGCACTTCTTCGCTTCCCTTCTCCTCCTTCTTCTTCTTCTATTTTTCCTTGTTGCTCTTTGTTTGCTTCATCATTTTCTTTCACTTTTTCGATAACAAAGGAAAAGTTCTCCCTCTGATGAAGTCGCATGTGGCAAGCGGCAGAAAGGCCTCAGGGAATGTGTCACTCCCTCTTGCGGATTTGTTGATAAGTCCACCTCGCCTCGAGCGGTATAAAGGCTAAGCAGCACGGTACAGGATCTACTTCTACTTCTTCCTTCTTCCCCTCCTAGTCTTGTTGACTCTTTGACACTGACACTTTGGGAAGAGTGACTATTACGAGCGGATACTTCTCCGTTCGGGATCGAATGAGTTGGGCAGTAATTTTTTTTAAATAAAAAAGGGGGGCGTTATTTTCCTTGGAACAAAGTATCATTGTGTTGACATCATTCGGACTTAGTGAGTCGGCGGGTCTGATATGACTTTTTTTTCACATTGTTTCTTTGACTGTAAGTGTGGTGAATGAAGAATCATCGTGAGTTGATTGTCGAACCTTCTTGGCGTGAGTTTTTATTTTCGATTCTCGCACTTCTTGTGGCAATGAATTTGATGTAATCGCAATATTCAGATATGTACTCTGGATACATGTGTATATATATATAGTTTTTTAAAATAACGGTACATAGTGATTGGAGTTTGGAGCATAGCTGGGAGCAACATGGATGTGTTTTTTTCACTAAATCATTAAAACCACCCCCTTTCCTAAACAGATATATCTTCCTCGAATAAGTGAATTAGTAATAAGCACTCTGGATATCGGTGATTGATATTGGTGATTGAAATCTCGTACAGTAATCATGAGGTCTCTCCCGTTAATGCCCCCGCTTGATTACGCTAAAAGGCTAAACCCTTGAGCTTAAAACGACAAAATACTGAATAGGGAAAGACATGGATGAGTATATACTCACACTTGTTTGTCTGTTGCCAAAACTATACATGTTCCTGCTACAACTAGCCTACTTACAATACTCATGATGATGCCCCGGTTAAGTAGCCACGCTTACTTGCGCTAAAAAGTTGCCCCCCTCGATTAAGCAGTTAGATACTTAATAAGGAAAAGCTTGGATGCATTTTTTTCGCTGGTATATATGTTGTCGAAACCTTTGACGAACAGATAAATTCTTCTCTGTCAAAATTTGAGTGCGTTGTAATCGATAACTACCCCAATGAGTGAGACTAGATAAACATTTATCAGTAGTACCACGCACAAGTGTATTACTATCACTCTAAGGATTAGCGAGTCACTCCCCGAAATATTAAAAGATGGGATTCCTGCTTGCACCATGTATTATTTTTGAACAAGCATGCAAATTCCCCAGTTGTACGATTTCCAAATGATCATCACTATGACCTTCAATTTGGGCCTCTTAATCGTCTAAACTTACGAAAGAAGAAGCAACCCATTGAGCCTTACGTTTTTATCACAAGAATAGCTCGCTCATCAATACCAATGAGCAACGATCACTCGGGAAGAATTTTGAAGATAAACGGACTATCATCTACGGTACCCTTCCGAAAAAGAGTAGAGTGGAGATTCCGATCAATAAAGATGCATGTGTATGAATGTATGCGTACAATATCCCTCTCTTCCAGCAGTAATGGTTCCAGAATTATCACAGGACACGAATTAGGGAGCGCATACGTGCCAGTCGGAGCCGCGACATGAAGCGGCAACTTGACCCATAATTCGTGAAATGCGCAAAACCATGAGTAGATGCCTGTCTCCCACGTCTAAAACCAATGTCATACTTGGGATGATACCCAAGCTAAAGGATGTGCCGATAAAATACGTCGGAGAATTTGGCCAGGCATGGGGTAACCTGCCTTGGCGTGCGAAAGATGCACCCACCCAAAACACACACACACACACACACACACACACACACACACACACACACACACACACACACACACACACACACACACACACACACACACACAC